AGCAAGGGAGGGGCAGAGAGAGAGGGACAGAGTGCAAGCAAGGGAGGGGCAGAGAAAAAGGGAGACACAGAATCTGAAGCAGGCTCCAGGCTCCAAGCTGTCTGCCCACAGCTCAATGCGGGCTCACAGTCACGAAACACGAGATCATGACCTTAGCCAAAGTCGGACACTCGACCGACTGAGCCACCCAGGCACCCCTCTATGTGATCTTTTAGAGTGCCCCAGGACTCAATCCTTGGTCATCTACTCCTATCTCCATTAACTCCCCAATCTCACATGGTTTTAAATACTAATTATGTGCCAACTCCCAAATTCCCATCCAGTCATTTCAAATTATAAAATGTCCTTAAAAGAACTTCTGATCTCTCCCCCAAAACCTGCTCTATCCATTTCCTTCTCCATCTCTGACAGAAAATCCCTCCTTTCAGTTGCTCAGGCCAAAAATCTCGGGGACTCATCCTTGCTTGACTCTTCTTTCCCTCACACCCAACCAATTTTTTATGGAATCTTTTATATTCAGCATCACACTTCTTATAATTTTCATTCAAACCACTCATCTCTCATCTACAATACTATGACAGTCTTCCATAACCTTCTACAGGTCTCCCGCTTCTTCCCTTTTGCTGCATTCCACCAGCTCCCATCCCCAGTCCATTCTCAATACAGCAGATAGTATTCTTTTTAAAACATAAATATAAAACATAAATAAGACCATGTCACTCCACTGCTCTCACAGAGTAAAAGTCACTGCCCTTGCAATGACTCACTGTCCTTTTGACCTCATCTTCTCCTACCCTTGGCCTCACTCAGCCCCAGTCACAATGACATCTTGTTTTCTCTGAAACAGACCACATTCTCCAGCCTTAGAACCTTTTAGGTGGCTGTTTCCTCCACCAGCATTATCTTCTCCCAGATACTCATATGGATAACTTCCTTATCTCCTCCTTTGTTGAAAGGTCACTTTCTCAATAAGACCTACCTGGACAACCCTATTTAAAACTGTAACTTGCTCCCATCCCCAGCACACGATTCCCTTTACCTTCCTCAATCTTTTTTTTTAATATTTATTTATTTTTGAGACAGTGCAAGCAGGAGGGGGGGACAGAGGATCTGAAGTAGTCTCTGCACTGACAGGCTGACAGCAGAGAGCCTGATATGGGGCTTGAACTCACAAACCACAAGATCGTGACCTGAACCTACTGAGCCGCCCAGGTGCCCCTATTTTTTTTTCTTTTATTCATAGTATTACACTATAACATGGTAAATAATTTACTTATTTGGTATACCCTAACATAAGAATTAACCATCCCCTTCTTTTTACTCACAGTAGTATTGCTATAGTTTAAGTAATCATTATCTCCCTCAATAGACCAACATTTTTCAAACTGTAGACTGCTTCAGACCAGCTTGTTCTTTTTTGCAAATGAAAAATAAAATAGAAAAAAAATTTAGGGGTGCCTGGGTGGCTCAGTTGGTTAAGCGTCTGACTTCGGCTCAGGTCATGATCTTGCAGTTTGTGAGTTTGGGCCCCACATCAGGATCTGTGCTGACAGCTCAGAGCCTGAAGCCTGCTTCGGATTCTGTGTCTCCCTCTCTCAGCAGGCTCCAGTCTCTGAGCTATCAGCACAAAGCCTGACACAGGGCTAGAACTCATGAACCAAACCGTGAGATCATGACCTGAGCTAAAGTTGGATGCTTAACCAACTGAGCCACCCAGGCACCCCCAAAGTTTGTTTATTTAAGCAATCACTACACCCAACATGGGGCTCAAACTCACAACCCGGAGATCAAGAGTTGCATGCTCTACTGACTGAGCTAGCCACGTGCTCCTATTTTATCTCCCCTCTTAAGTAATGTTTATCAAACTTTAGACGGCTTCAAATCAGCTTTTCAAATCAGCTTCTCGTTTGTTTTTTAATAGAAAATTATAGAATTGAAAACAAAGTATCAGAGTTCAGGCACATATTGAGGGCCTATTGTTGAAACACGTACAGAATGCAACTACTGTGTTTTGGGATTCACTATTACATGTACAAATTATTACAGGTCTCAGTCAAAAAGAATTGAAAAACACTGCTACACTAAGGCTATGGATAAATTAATATTACTGTAATGTTAAATTCAGCAGAACAGAGATCTTGGTTTTGTTCAGTACTGTGTTCCTAGAACCTAAAACAGTGTCTGGTATGTAACAGCACATTAAATGTCTGTTGAAAAAGTGAGTAACATAACTTTTCAAACATACAAATCCTACAGTATTCCTCCTCATTGCCATTTACAAAGCCCAATATATTTTTCATGTCTGAGCCTTGGCTCACCCTGTCTTCTGAGCCTAACAAAACTTTCCTCCTTTTCTCAACTCACCAAACCAATCAATGCCTTTTTACTACATTGCACTTTCTTATAAAATCTTATTAGAGACCTAAAGTTCATAAGCACGAAAGAAAACATGATAAATTATAACTGGCAGTGTAGTACATTAAATAAATACAGTTCTTTATCATACATTGAACTTTTAGTTCAGTTATAACATACATTAAACATTTCACTAACAATTCAGCATGCCATCTTAAAATTTAAAAGGTCTTTTGTTGGATCACTTAACCCATACTTAACTAGGAATGGGAAGTCTAATTTAATGTCTTCTCTTTTAACTCTATAGGCACTCAAGATCATACTGTTTATTATTCTTTTCATAAACAAAGCAACACACAAAAAAAATCTAAGGACTAAAAAGTCAGTAGTTTGCATACTGCAAATCAACTAGCTTTACAATCAGATACTCTGTTCCTCAAACACAGATAAGCCAATTTGAAAACAAATGCTGTTAAGAAAAGGGACTAACCACTGGTTTTGGCAACAACTTTCAGAGGCTAAATAGAATGTTCACAGATAGACCTTTTTTAAGTTTCCACATATTAAACACTTAGTATGTTCCAAAAACTCAACTTTATATACACATATTTACATAAATGTCTGTGTCATCTTCAGGTCTTTGAAAAAAAAATCACCATTTGACTGGAACTACTACTACTACTACTTCCTATCTCCTTTGACTATTTTTCACATACACAGAAAATCCTATGTTCTACGTGGAATTACTTACTAACATACCACAGAATGTTCTGTTCTATTTATTTAGTTTTTAAGATTCTATTTTTTTTTT